ATAGCTACCTTTCTTCACTACTAGCAAAATAAAAAAAAAGGTTGAAATCAAACAGGTGACTACTTAGTGTTTGCAGGAATCAGTCCCTTAATTTTCATCACTATTTGAGATATAATCTGTAGTATTTTAATATTACACGTAAAAATTCTGAAGCCCAGCCTTGAGCACACCTATATCCCAGTGGCTCAGGAGGCTGAGGCAGGAGGATCACAAGTTCAAGGTCCCGTTAGCAACTTAGTGAGGCCCTAAGCAACTTACAAGATCCTGTCTTAAAATAAAAAATAAAAAGGGCTGCAGATGTGGCTCAAGGGTCAAGTGCCCCTGGGATCAATCCCCAGTATGGAAGAAAAAAAAAAAACGCTTCTCTTGACTGTTCCTTAAAATATCTGCTTGTCTGGTCATGATGGAGCCCAAACAAGTATACAAATGTACAACTACAAAAAGTATACAGAAATTCTCTTCTAAAGGGTTCTTGTTTACTGTCAGCCTGAAGGGCTATGAGTGTTTCTACTTTCTACATTCTTATCTGTGTTTATTTTCAAGTCTGATAAGTTTTTCTTCTCTTTAGAAAACTGCTGCAGAAATGAAGAACAGTACTTGGCATTCCTTAGATATTGAACATTTTTTTAGTATGGGAATTGACCCTAGGGGTGCTTAATATGAGCCATATCCCCAGCCCTTTTTATATTTTATTTAGAGACAGGGTCTCACTGAATTGCTCAGGGCCTTGATAAATTGCTAAGGCTGGCTTTGAACTTGTGATTCTCCTGCCTAAGCCTTCCATGCTACTGGGATTACAGGTGTACGCCACCGTGCCCAGCAGAACATTTTTTTAAAATAGTTTTTTAGGGACTAGGGATGTGGCTCAAGTGGTAGCGTGCTTGCCTGGTATATGTGTGGCCTGGGTTCGATCCTCAGCACCACATACAAACAAAAGACAAAAGATGTTGCGTCCACAGAGAACTAAAAAAAAAAAAAATAAATAAATATTAAAAAAATAAAATGAAGATGTTGTGTCCACTGAAAACTGAAAAATAAATATTAAAAAAATACTTTTTTGTTGTTGATAGACCTTTATTTAATTTATTTATTTATATGTGGTGCTGAGAATCAAACCCAGTGCTTCACATATGCTAGCTCATACCACTGAGCTACAACCCCCAGCCCAGAATATTTTTATAAATGCCATTTTTTTCCTGCTGTGGTCTGGGTTTAAGTATTACTGCTATGGGACTCCTTCTGACTGTGCCCCTCTTCTTTGTTGAGTAGTTTCTCTGTTGCATCCTAGAAACCTTCAGAGGCTGCCCTCCTGCCTGAGTCAGTTTGTTGGCCCTCCCTCACTTATAATTTCCTTTGTCAAGTCTCTGGGGCTCCTCCTTCTCCCATGATCCTCCCTGTCTGTCCTGTCTTTCAATCTCCCCAATCCCACCCAATTTCAGATACAACACCCATGCTGATCCCCCCTCATCAGGCTTTCCTTGGTGAGCTCTGGCTTGTGGATTTTCTCTTTTCTAAAATTCCACTCCAGTTAGCCCAGGATACAGAATTTAGCAGTTAATTATATAGTGTCTTATTTATTTTTATTTGTTGTTAGTTTTGTCTTTTTTAGTGAGGCTGAAGACTCCTTGAAAGCACCACATCTTGTATTTGAAAAACTTTTTTTTTTTTTTTTGGCTGGGGTTGTGGCTCAGTGATAGAGTGCTCACCTAGCATGTGTGAAGCACTGGGTTGGATCCTCAGCATCACATTAAAATAAAATATTGTGTCCACTTACAACTAAAAAATAAATATTTAAAAATATTTTTTTTCACAGTACTCCAGTAGGGACACAGTAAAAACCTCCTATTCTATCAATAAACATTTATTGCCTCACTAATGGATAGATAGGCACAGATGTGAGATTTTCTACCCATTATTATGGCTTCTGGTACTTATAAATATCTGTCAAACTTATTAAACTGAGAGTAATTAAGAAGATCGGTTCCAAATCTAATACCCAGTTGTCCAAAGAATACTATCTTTGAATCAATTTTTTTTATCTGCAAAATGGAGGTCTGCCTTAGAGAGTTACTGTGAGGTTTAAATGAGATAATTCATACCTAAGTGCTTTGAAAGGCTTTGTAGCTTCCACCTGCCCTCACTATATGACTGTTAAGGGTTATTATACCTCATGTCTATTCTTGTAGAGATCACAGGGAAAAACAAGGTTTGGTATCTGTCACATAAAGTGGGTTGCTTTTTAACATTTGTTAGAATGGTGAGCCATTCTTAGGGAAACCAGAGTATGACTGGGAAAGTAGGAAGAGAATAAACAATCTATAGTCTTCCAATTTTCCTAAGAAAGTATTACAGCTGTGGAAAATACAAAGATGATGATATCTTGAAGTTCAAATTCTCCAACTAAGTTAGTCTTTGTTGCTACCCCCCACCCCCAGGGGATTGAACCCAGGGGTGCTTACCCACTGAGTCACATCCCAAGTCCTTTTTAATTTTTTATTTTGAGGCAGGTTCTCATAAGTTGCTTAGGGCCTCACTAAATTGCTGAGGCTGACTTTGAACTCAGGATCCTCTTGCCTCAGCTTCTGTAGTCTCTGGGATTATAGGCATACACCACTACACCTGGCCCTAGTTTTTATTTTAATTGACCATAACACCAAAATATATTTGAAACCATCAATTTTACTTCTTGAGATGTTTTGTTTTCTGCTTTTATTAAAATAAAACTATTTCGGTTAGAAGTTTTATATATCTCTTTATTAAATATTCTAACATGCATTTTATATTAGTACTTAACCCTGGACCGATTTTTTTTTGTCCTTTGTATTAGGGCTTACCACTAAGGCTTGATGATTTGTGCAACTCTTTCTAGTAAAATGGCATTTAAAAAGATAATTTTTGGAAAAGAGATGCAAATAGGCAGGCTCGATGCTGGAATTTCCAGTTTTGTAGAAGGCAGATTTTTTTTTCCAATGGCTTCTTTTTTGGAATTTGTCTTTTAAAAAATTTTCCGTTTTCTTTAATTGGTGCATTATAGTAATGATAACTGTGGGATCTTTTACATATTCGCACATGTACATATAGTAACAATATAATTTGGTCAATATCATTCCCCAGGATTCCCCACCCCCCCATTTCTTTTCTCATGAGATTCCTCCACCTTTCTTTTCCTTTTTCCTCTCTAGTTTTCACACATGAGAGAAACTATATGATTCCAGTGGCTAGAATATAGTCATGTGGGAGAAAGTCATTTTGAAAAATATTGTGTACATTCTTTAGAAAAAGGATGTATGGAGATAGAAGAGGCACATGACCTGTGTAATGATGTGGGTTCTAGTGTTGACTTTTGGTGTGAACTTGGGTAAGTTTTGTATTTAAAAAACATTTTTTTAAGCTGGGCATGGTGGTGCACACCTGTAATGGCAGCTCAGGAGGCTGAGGCAGGAGGATCTCGAGTTCAAAGCCAGCCTCAGCAATGGTGAGGCACTAAGCAACTCACTGAGACCCCGTCTCTAAATAAATCACAAAATTGGGCTGAGATGTGGCTCAGTGTAGAGTCCCTCTGAGTTCAATCCCTGGTATCCCCCCACCCTCTCCCATCCCAATTTTTTTTTTGAGGGTGGGGTGTGGTGGTACATGCCTATAATCCCAGAGACTGAGATTACGAGGCTGAGGCGGGAGGATTAAGTTCAAAGCCAGTTTCAGCAATTTAGTGAAGCCCTAAGCAATTTAGTGAGACCCAGTCTTAAAATAAAAGATAAAAAGGGCTGGAGGTATGGCTCAGTGGGCAAGCCCCCCCCCCCCACTTCAATCCCTGTACCAGACAAACAAACTTCTTCTTCTTCTTTCTTCTTCTTCTTCTTCTTCTTCTTCTTCTTCTTCTTCTTCTT